ATCAGTCGACTATCTGCTGTGGAGCACTGGAGTTCGGCGGAAGCTCACCCCACTGGCGACACCATACACCCCAGTCACGTCGCCCAAGCAGAGGTTCACGACGTTGGCGCAGTAGCTATTCACCGTCTCATTGAGACCCAGCAGGTCCGGATCGTACTGTTCGCCTGCAGAGTGTCAGACCAACTCGGTCCCGAGTATCCATGGACTATCTTGCGACTCACCGAGAGCACGGCAAGTTCTGGTCCCATCAAGACACGCGGGCAACGCGGCCAATGCAACCTCGTAGAGAGTCTCGTTGGTGGCCTGCAAGCCATAGCTGCATTGCGGCGAAGCTGGCATCAGCAAGAGCTTTGTATCTAGGAAGGAGAGCCTCGCTGCCTACGTGTTGTTGTACGCCATCTCCGGGTAGGAGGGCGCTTGATCTGAAGATCTGGTCAGCGGCGTCAGATCCAACGAGTGCCAACACCAACATAGTATATCGACGCAGCCATTGGTGAAGCCGATGGTCTCGACGTCGATGATGGTGCCCTCGATGTCTCCGTTTTTGATCTTGGCATTCTGTGCGACGAAGTAGGCGGCTGTAGTCGGCACCCAGTAGCCGCCGTAGCTATTGCCTGCGCGAGAAAGCTCAGCCACTTGCTCCATTGATCGATGTGCCTCATCGAGTGCTCTCACCCCAAATTGTGATGGCTTTGTTGCACGTGGCCCACTCCGGGAACGAAGTCATCCAGGCCTGCGAGAAGTGCCACAAGGTCCGGGCTGCGAGGACCGAGGTATTCGCAGTCCGAGTAGCCACCTGCGAGGGGAGCACGCCGTAGAAGAAGGTGCTGTTGGCCTCGGGTACCTTGCCACTGTAGGCATCGAACCGGACATTGCCGGTGTCGTTGATCGCCACGGGCGTGGTGAACAGGGCATCGAACGTGGATTTGAAGAGCGCATCGTAGCTGAACCCGGTGCCGACGGGCTGATCGAGGCTAATGCAGTCGATGGAGATCAGCGGGTGTGTCACATCGTTTGAGCCGGTCTCTCCACGAAGTGTACTGACTAAAGCATGTTGACGTAGGTGTTCATAGACCACTCGTTGTTGTCTACAGGACGCCCGGCGTCAGCGATCGACCCTCCATCCTCCGGGGCTCTGTACATGTGTCATACACGTTGAGTTGGAGTCAGCAGCTACACGGTCACAGTTGACCAGTCAGCAATCTGTCTCGGCGGCTGGCCATCTGGCGGCAGCGCGAAGCAAAACGCACCGACATAACAAGGACCGCCATCGGACGCAGCGCCCCACATCGAGCTCTCGCCCGCACCGCCGGCGAGATAGATGGCCGTCGGCGCTTGCTCTGGGCGCACGCGGGCTTTGAAGTACCAGAAGAACTGCCAAGAGGAGACGGCATCAGCGATCATGCCCCGGCTGCCCAATGCTGTTGTTCGTCCCGTCATACCAACGAGACGTTATATGGGTCGTCGCCTTGGACGTCCGGGATAGAGGCCGCGGGCATATGGACGTAGCCTACGCATCGTCAATCATGTGGTTTGGGCCTGATCCGAGCGGGAGGTCTCACCGGCCCAGGCCCGCGAGCTCTCCTCGCAGATATGCGTCTGCCCTTGCGTGTCAGCGCGGCCCAGTGGTGATCCACATGCGCAAGAGGTACTTCTCTGTATGAGATCGAGGCGCCTGGAGGGTTGGCGACGGGGACCGTGACGATGTCGTCGGCTAGGGGCGGTGGGAAGCCTCCTTGAGCGGCGACGGTGGACATCGGCAGGAGCACTGCCGCTGCCCAGACTGCGAGACGGTGCATGGCGTCGCGAGAGTGTTCGGACCACAGTGTGATGTAGTGGAAGCTTCGCAGCGAAGAAACGGGGCTGCCAATCGATGCTTGGCCGTAGCTTGGCTATTGAGGCTCTGAGCCCGGACTGCCTCTACTTATAGTCGCGTTCCTGTGAATGCATCGTCCCTGCGAAAGGTGGACGCCGCCTTCGGTAGCCTGGGAAGTACCTGCTTCGCATCTTCTCGGGAGTATAGGAGTGCTGAGCAAGCTGCGCATCGAGCATAGACCTCTGGTAGACAGGGCTCAGTACGCGAGCACACTCCTGCCGTAACTTCTTGGCCAAGCCCAGAGCCGCAGGCAGCTGCGCGTGTTCCCGTGATGTATCCAGGGCTGAGACGCCGCGTCAAGTCTTGGCGAAGTTTGGCGAGCCCTTACTCGAAATCGGGTGTGGACGCGTACTAGTCGACCATCAGGCTGAAACCTGCCTGCGCGACTGGGCCCGTCGTCGCTGAGTCATTGCAGGCCGTTGGCGACCTACATCTAATGCGGAGCGGATTGCGCAGGCTGACTGCCGCCGTGGACGATTTTCCGAGGTACCCAATCAGCGTGCGCCATTACCAGCGCCCTGCTCGAATCGTGCGGCTTGGGCTGGATGTAGGACATTGCGTTTTACGGTAGCGCGGTGTCTGTCTCTTCTGGAGGGGAGAAAGTTCGCGGCCAAGGAAGGAGCCATTGGGGTTTGACGCGGCCATGCGGATCCGATTGAAGACTGAGCTGGTGCACTGGCATGATAAGTCAAGAGTCGGTCGCATCAGCGCTCTGTTTTGCACCCTCTGCATGGCGAGACTCTTCTCTACTGCTCCGTGGAGAAGTCTCCCCGCTGCCTGCCGCTTCAAGCCTTCTGTCGTTGCCACTGCACAAACTCATGTCTGACGACTGGCTCAACATCCGGGCATTCGGCGTTACTCAACACCAGCTCCAGATGCCCGGACGAGGCGTCCGCGTCAATCGATGTCCTGATCTCCGCCACCCGCCGGTACTCTGGGATATCCGTGACGCTGTGCACCGCAACCAGTCCGTCCTCTTCGACTTCCAGCCAGCGCTGAGCAACCGCCGCAGCACCAGTAGACTGCCAGATGCCTTCCTGCCGGGGTAGCTTCCGTAGCACTTTGATAGCACGCCTCCGGACGGCAGGATCGCGGCATCGGGTCGCCACAAGAAATGTGCTGTCAATGTCTGAAGCCGTCAGGCCACAGTCAGCACATGACACGAGGTACGGAGGATCAGGAGGTGGCGACTCACAGCCCATTTCCACACTGAATGACGACTGGCCTACAGTCAGACACAGTCCAGCCACGATGTCTTCTGCCAAAGCAACGGCGTCGACGAAGTTCTGAAGTACGCCATCCCACCTTGTCTCCGGGCCAAAGAATCCCGCTGCAGCGATCGCGGTCCCACTAGTGTGCAGCAGCCGGAGCAAAGCAATGGCCAGAGGGGGAGCAATGTCCGGCTTGCGGATCAACAACTCCTCGAAACGCTGTCTCCAATGCTGCATCTGGACCTTGCATCGGGCCAGCTCGGCACGGTACACGGCCATGTCCCAGGTGCCTTCACTGGCCGCACTGTAGGTGTCAGGGAGATCGACCATGAGCGTGAACCTGACCAGATCCTGCAAGCAGTGAGTACAACCTCTTCAAATGCCTCGGACAGTCCTCGTATTGGATCTTCGTACCGTGAACGACGCATGTGCCTCCGCAAATCCGTCAAACCCATGCTCCGGCACCGCGGTCAAGAGATGCACTCCATGACAGTCGTCGATGCCGCGTGCCAACGGGCCGACGCTCCCATCCTGGAAGGTCCGGGCCACGAAATCGCGGCGGGCCAGCGCATATTGGATCTCCATCAAGTCATTGCGTCTCGAGCTGTGCCGCAAGCGTTCCCGATTGTCCCAAAGTATAGACCGTCCGCTGCAGGACGTCAGCGATAAAGCCAGCAAAACCGCACAGGCTGATCGCACCTTTCCAGGTGGACGCGGCTGGCCGTGTAATCACCACGGATACCCTCGTAGCTTATGAAGATGACACAGGCTGTGAGAACGCGGTCTACATCGTCCTTGGTGGCAGAGGCGACCAGTAGCTTGCTGAGGTTGTTAAAGCGGATAGTGGATGTGCCGTGGGAGAGGGTTGCGATCAAGCACGGAGAGACTTACGCTGCAGTCAAGGCTTTCCGGTGCTGCTTCTCGGCAAAGGCTAGATGCTCCGCCTTCATAGGGTCATGATCCGGAATTTCCATGAGCTGGTGTAGGGCACTGAGAGCAAGCACAGCATGCTTGACCGCGGGTTCGGCGTGCAAGAACTAGTCGGCGGCAGGGCATCAGCTGTGCATGTCTACCTTTGTTGCTTTCTACCTCCATGACTGACCTGCAGCACCACACGATCCCAGAATCTAGAGGTCACGCCCTGCACCGTTCGCTGACGGAAGAACTGGAAATACCGCTTCTCCAGCGTATCGCTGAACCCCGGGTCCGAGACCAACTGAGCCAGGATGCTGTAATCCGCAGAGGATGCCGCGCGGTGCAGACTTGGCTTGCCCGAGCGGCTGGCATTTGCTTGCACGAGCTCGCGCCGTGAGAAGGCCAGGCTGGAGTAGCCGTCGCACTTCCTCCCGGTCGTCACGCAGCGGTGGCACAGCGGCTTGGTCTCGTCGCATTTGACGGACCGGATGCGGCACGTGATGCAGCCCGTCTTGACCTGGATCGTGGAGCACACAGTCAGTTGCTGGTCACGCATCTAGACCTCATCGTGCTTCGGTCTCGGGCGAAAGGTTTACGCACCCTTTTGACACCGGTGCTGCTCTGCGTCAGGCTGGGCATTGTTGTATGGGGTGGAGGAGATCATGCTGCGAGCTTGGGAGTCTACACATAGTCATCATCCATTATGCAGCATTCGAGCATCTGTTGTGATGGCGCGGTGATGAGCCTGGATGGGACGCATCCTCAGCCGCAGCGCCTGCGCCGCAAGCATCCTCCAGGCAGGCATCGAAGACGGAGCCTGCCGCAGCGACGTGCATTCGTCAGCGAGCCGCGTGCCAGGTGGCTCGTAATGGTGGAGGCTGGTGGTAAGTGGCTAGACTTTGTCGGCGAGAGGCAGAGGGAGAGAATCCTCTTCGAGACGGCTATACAATAGATTATAGTGTTAATAAGACCAATTTTATGCACGTGACACCTCTACTGCGCTGGTAGTTTAAGGGTAGAATTCGAGCTTCCCATCGGATGTCTGCTCGAGGGTGAGCACATCTACCGCCTTTCGTCCGTTGTACACATACTAACACATGACAGACCGAGTTCGAGTCTCGGCCAGCGCATGGTTTTCATTTTAGTGTCTTGGTCCGCCATGACTACCCTTTTGGAGTCCGAGCATCGAGGGCGGAGGTGAGCGGTCTAGAGAGGCCGTAGGGGAACGGGGGAGGGGCATGGGAGCACAGCGCGGGGCGGGTTGGTACACTGGTAGACGGGGAAGCGACGACCTCAGCAACGAAGTCGGCAATGCCGATCGTCGAGCCTCGCCTCTCCTCCGAAGCACATGGAGTGTACCGATGTCGGCCTGAAGGTTGCATACATCTCCATGTACCCAGCTACATCCATACACGTAGTATGTGCTGGAGCAGCAGTGATGTGTTCGTTCAGCGAATGAAGCGATGGAGTTCTCCAAGCTGATATCGACTCAGGAGATCGGATCGCACAGCTCTCCTGAGGACTGTTGGGTCGTGTTCGACGATGAAGTCTGGGACGTGACACACTTCGCGCCACAACACCCCGGTGGAGCATCTCTGCTCCACACGTACGGCGGCCGCGACGCCACTAAGGCCTACGCGGAATACCACGGCCCAAGTATCATCAGAGACAACCTCGACCTCGACTGCTTCAAAGGTAACCTCGACCGATCCACCATCCCCACATCATGGGCCGAAGACCCGGCAAGCAACGCAGCGTCCAGCACCAACCCAACCCAAGTCCAGCCCGACAGCGAGAAGCTGCCCTTGCACTCCATCATCAACAGCTATGACTTCGAAGCAGTCGCCGCGCGCACGGCCTCGAAGAAGACCTACGCCTTCTACTCCACCGCCGCGACGGACTGCTGGTCGCGCGACATGAACGAGGCGATGTACAAGCGCCTCTGGTTCCGGCCGCGCGTGCTCCGCGACGTCGCCGCCGTCGACACCTCGACCACGATCCTGGGGCACAAGGTCAACGTGCCCCTGTTCATCTGCCCCACGGGCCTCGCCCGCATGATCCACCCGGAAGCCGAGATCGCGCTGGGCCGCGCGGCGAAGTCGACGGGCATCATCGAGATCATCTCCTCCAGCGCCAGCCACCCGGTCGAGGACGTCCTGGCCCAGTCCCCGGCGCACCCCTTCTTCTTCCAGCTGTACGTCAACCGCGACCGGCGGAAGTCCGAGGAGGCCATCGCGAAAGCCAACCGGCTGGGCTTCAAGGCCATCTTCGTCACGGTCGATGCCGCGGGCCGGGGCAAGCGCGAGTCCGATGAGCGGCTCGTGGTAGACGAGCTCGTCATCAACCCTGTCACGGGCGAGCGGGCCGCGACAGACAAAAAGGGCGGTGGACTGACGCGCATGATGGGCTCATTCATCGATCAGGCGCTGACCTGGGACGACCTGAAGTGGATCCGCAGCCTGACCGACCTGCCCATCGTGCTGAAAGGCATCACGACCGCCGTGGACGCGCAGCTGGCGATGCAGCACAAGGTCGACGGGATCCTGCTCTCGAACCACGGCGGCAGGAACCTCGACTACTCGCCCCCCGCCATCCTGCTCCTGCTGGAGATACACAAGAACTGCCCGGAGGTCTTCGACGCCATGGAGGTCTACGTCGACGGCGGGATCCGGCGCGGGGGCGACATCCTGAAGGCGCTGTGTCTCGGGGCCAAGGCCGTGGGCATCGGCCGGACCTTCCTGTATGCGTTGAGCTATGGCACCGAGGGCGCCGAGCATCTAGTCGAGATCTTGAGGGACGAGATGGAGAGCGTGATGAAGTTGCTGGGGATCAAGGATCTGTCGGAGGTGCATCCGGGGTTGGTGAATACGGCGGACGTGGATCATCTGGTCCCGTCGACGCCGGATCATCCGTACGCGAAGTGGCGGCCCAAGCCAAGGCTGTGATGGAGTCGCTGGGCCGTTCGAGTGGCCGAGCCTATCTCTCTCTCCAGCCAGCACATGCATTCTTACTTCCCAAGCGCAGCCGAGATCTCCAGGCCTCTCAGTCTCTCCCTGTGCGCCTTGAAACTTGGTTTCAGTACCTCACCCGTACCCGTCTGTTCCACCTTCAACACCTCAATCACCCGTCCATTCCTCCGCCGTCGGATGCGCCACACACCACCTTCCTCACTCCCTACCACCTCCTTCAAAAACTCAAGAAATGCAGCCGTGAGATTGATACACACATTCCCATCCCACGTATGCTGGCCCCGCTTGACCATCCCAGGAAGCTTCTGCGTCTCCAACTCCACAACCCGCTTAAGGGACCCCTCCGCCATGCGATACCCGACTATAACCTTCGGCACGCCCAGCAGGAACGACTGCGCCCAGTACCGCATGAGCTTGCGCTCGTACTTGACTGCCTCGCGCGGGATGGAGAGGTTGCCCGGCTCGGCGGTCGTCTTGAGCTCCACCCACGGGATCGGGGTGTTGGGATCGTCGGGCTTCTCCCCGAGGACGGCGTCGACTTCGCCGGCGAGGATCAGGGTGCTGGTGCCGATGCCGGTGCGGACGATGGAGCAGTACTGCGGGTGGTTGTTGACGATGTTGGAGTCGCGCGCTTCGATCGCTTCGCGTGTGGATTCGGCCCAGGTCGTGGGAAGGGTTGAGATGGCCTCGAATTTGTAGCCTTGCCAATAGTCAGCTGGGTGGTCCGTGATGTGGTCAACAGAACATCGTGACAAACCCCAGAACTGCATCAGCTCCTGCGGAGCCTCGCCTCGTCGAGGCTGCTGCGTATTCTGTGAACGCTGCTGCGCCGCTTTGTAGGAGTGGTTCTCCTCGATGAAGCTGCGACGTCGTAAGCTTGAGATCAAGGTGGTGTGAAAGGTGCTTCCGTGTGCTTACATTGTACCCTTCGAAACGTCAGCTGGAGTCAAGAACAACATGAGAAGGGCCACTGCGGACCTGGAAGCAGGTGGCGTTCATCTCAAAGTCGCTGAAGTCGTCGAAGGCGACGGTGAGGATCTGGACGGGGTGTCAGTGCTTGTGCCCGTACTGGAACGCGTGTCACAGGGGCCATGGCAGCGCATACGTCCGCTGCTGCCCTTCTGCCTTGCTAAGAGACATGAATATACCTTCGTCATCATGCCTCGCCAAGTCACAAAGTCCGCACGAGATCGCACATCCGCGACCGTGCCCTCTCCACGCTGCACCTTCTCCAGCAGCTGCTCCTCGTGCGCCTGCAGCGTATCGAGTAAGCCCTCCAGATGCTCGTCGACGGAATCGTCGCGCTGCTTGAACGTTTGGAAACCAGCCGAGAGATCTGGACGAGGTTCCTGTGCGCCCGGCGCGCCGAAAATGGGAGGGTAGTAGTACGACAGCGACTCCGAGGATAGCGGCTTCAAGTGGTGCTCATCGTCGAAGGAGAAGTACGCGAACTCGCGTGGGCGCCGGATGGAGGTGGAAGTGCCGGAAAAGCGGTCCAGGTGGGTGAGGTCGAAGGTGGCCATATCGGTTCAGGTGCGCACGCATTGCCGCGCTGTGCTCCGAGGATGTTAGAATACCTGATGTTGATGTGACTGCGGTCGCGTGGTCGACGCGACAGCAGATTGCCAAAGCGGCCGCGTTCCCGTCTCTAGCGGCCGCGGCACTTTGGCTTCGCGGAGGTGCACTGAGCAAATATCCCGGCGATACCGTTTGTCTTCATACATGTATCTCAGGAAGGAAGGACATACGCTGTCTCTGGGTTGCCTTCGAAGCCAAGAGAGTGTAGCCTGTTTCGTATTGGGAAGGCACGCAGTGCCATCCACACCACCTATGGCTTGCACTACATGTACATGTACATGTAGTACTCGGCCTCTGCTCTGCTCATTGTTGCCTAAGGCATGAGCATCGAAGCTGCGCGCAGCTTCTATTGGAGGGCGGTGCGTCATTGGGTGCTTCCAGGAAGCAGCGAGATGCATGCGATGGCTTCTAGCCGCCCGGCTGCGCCATTGCATGCTACACAAAAAGGCCACTGGACAACAGCCGACAGGCGAAGTGTATTCCGCCATTGAACCAGCATACGTGGAGGAGAAGTACAATACCGACCACAACAACAATGGTCTCCGACACCAAGCTCTACGACCGCCTCGGCGTGTCTGCCACTGCTACAGCCGACGAGGTCAAGAAAGCGTATCGTAAGAACGCGCTCAAGAACCATCCAGATAAGAACCCGGCAGGAGCCGAGAAGTTCAAGGAGGCGAGTGAAGCATACGAGATCTTGTCCGATCCGGAGAAGCGAAGGAACTACGACAGCTATGGCTACGACTTCATCACCGGGAAAGCCGGGCCGGCCCCGTCAGCAGACGACATGGGCGGCAACCCATTCGCGGGAGCAGGAGGCATGCCGGGAGGATTCGGTGGATTCGGCGGTGCACCCGGCGGAGGAGGGACGCGGACGTTCCACTTCAGCACGGGAGGAGGCGGGAGCGGACGGGGCGGGTTCGGAGGCTTCAGCGATCCGAAGGACATCTTCGCCGAATTCATGCGGGGAGGCGGAGCATCGATGGGCGGCGCGGGAGGTGGCATGGGTGATGAAGACGACATCTTCGCATCCTTCGGCGGTCTAGGCGGCGGTGGGCGAGGCGGCCGCACCTCATCCGGCTATGGCGGAAGTCGAAGAAGGGAGCCGGAGGTGGAGACCACGGTCGTCGAGAAGCCGCTCCCGGTCTCACTGGAGGACATCTTCGCGGGCGCGACGAAGAAGCTGAAGGTGCAGCGCAAGACCTACGACGCGCAGAACGGGAAGCAGAGCGTCGAGGACAAGATCCTGTCCGTGCCCATCAAGCGCGGCTTGAAAGCCGGCAGCAAGATCAAGTACCCGGACATGGGCGACCAGGTCGAGGGCGGCACGCAGGACCTCCACTTCATCGTCCGGGAGAAGGAGCACCCGCTCTTCACCCGGTCGGGGGATGATCTGAGGCATACGGTCGAGATCGATCTGAAGGAGGCGTTGACGGGGTGGAAGCGGACGGTGCAGACGGTGGACGGGAAGCAAGTCAGTGTCTCGAGCTCGGGGCCCACGCAGCCCACGTTCGAGGAGCGATTCCCGCAATTGGGCATGCCGAAGAGCAAGACGCCGAGTCAACGAGGCGATTTCCTTGTTG